GCTTCTTCTTCATCATCTGGRTGGCGATTGGCTCTGGGAGCCTGTTTCACTTTGGCGCAGGCCTTTGAGTTGGATGTCAGGGCGGCGCTGGGTGTTACCTGGGGTTTCAGTGCTATTTTTAGCTGTTCCGGGTGTTGGGGTTGAGCGCTACCCCTCTGAGGGTAGCGCAACAGGGTTCTGAGGGTATTCAGTGAAAACGATGCTCTGAGTTTAATAAACAGTTATAATACTGTGTTTGAGTTGTCATCTCTTCATTGATTTCTGGCTGTGATCACTCGGTTGTCTTCTATGAATGTTTGTTGGGATCTGCGTGGAGAGAATTCACAGTTTGTGTGTTCTGTCACTTCGCTCCTCTGAGTCTTCCGCTGCGTTTCTTTCTGGTGGGCGGTGTGATACTCCACTACCTCTCCCCTTCCTTCTGTGCATGTATGGGCGTGTACAGGAGTTCCTGTGAGTGAGTGTTGATAAAATTTCAACAGACAATCATGTTCATAACAGATAGAGAGAAATCTAGTCACTCAGCCGGGATCGACACAACTGGAAAGAGCACTGGACGTGGCCAGACAAAAACTGGCCGAGTGGAAGGCTTGGAAAGATGCAGGCATAAGACTGTGTGCACGAGTCAAAGAATTGGAACAGGGTGAGAAGATGACAAAATACTTCTTTCAAAAGATAAAATCCAACACACGGAAGAAACTTACTGAGCGGCTATACACAGAGAGACACAGTCACTTCAGACCCGATTCGTATGTTATCAGCGGCAGCAAACTTATACAAGGACCTCTATACTTCCACAGAGAACCAATTGCCACAAGCAGCCGTAAGGGACGCCAGACACAAGTTCTTGAATCATCAAGACACAAGACCTTGTCACAAGAGCAGAGCGAGGAGCTGGATAGACCATTTACTCAAGCAGAAGTCAGAGCAGCACTGCATTCGCTGCAACCGAACAAGACACCGGGCCGAGACGGACTATCCAAGGAGTTTTGGCAAACCTGTTGGCCAGTGCTTGAACAAGAGTATACGACCTTCCTCATTAAGGCTACGACAGAGGAAGGACCGAGAAAATACATAAGCACGGGGATGGTCACCTTGCTGTACAAAAAAGGCGATCCAACAGACATCAAGAACAGCAGGCCGATCACGCTACTGGCTGTAGTATACGAAGTGCTAGCCAAACTCTC